TTAACCGTGTGTGTGACATCAAAGGATGGGATGAACAAGTCGTGTGTCTGGTGGTCCATAATAGTTGCTCAGAGCTTTAAATCGCAACGATCTGAAGGGTACTTCCACTGTGCAAGTCACCCTGAGACATAATTTAAAAAGTCCCATGCGCCTATAATTTGTACTTACTGTGTGTGCTACAGGTACGTGTTCCCGCGTTGGACCATCCGTCCGGACGGGCGATACATGCAGTGCTACGAGTGGTTACGCGTCTTGTGCGCCATTTTATGCATCTTCGTGTTTCCCAACTACATATACTTCCAGTTTCAATTTACTTGGCTCCGATACCTAGCCATTCTACTCGATTACAGTGCTTACTTCGACATGTAAGTTTTTTCAACAACAAGAAATCATCTATCAATGTGTTCACCGCAAATAATAACGTAGAACGCGGAATTTTATATAAGTGGGGATAATCCTCAGCTAAAGGTGCTCTGCTGCCTCACCTACCTCGCTTCCGAGTTAGCTTCCGCTCGCGGGACTCTTTTGGAACTAGCAATGGGACGAGTAGGGACACAGTATCGAATCAAAAGTATCGATACTGTACTCATCAGTAGTATCGTGTCGTATCGTCATAAAAAGTGTCGTACTCATAAAAGTATAGAAATTTTTACTTTTTTAAAAAAATATTTTTAATATTTTTAATTAAAAACAGACAAATAATAAAAGAATTTGATTAATTCAATCAATCGTCATTTCACATAATTTGTGTTACTTAAATTTTCAATTTCCCACTCCTCTGTACAATCACTTAAAAACAAAAAAAAATCTATTTGGTATCGGTCTGTTTCTCGTTTTTGATACTGTTAACTCGAATTGCAACTCGAGTTAACTAGACTCGATGTATCACAGAGCAACCGCGAGTCGCGAGTACAACTCTAAAAGTATTATACAAAAGATAAAGTACAAAAATATTATCAAGGACTGTACTCCAAATCACAGGAAACTGGATATCATGAATGTGAAACCGAAATTGAACAACACAACATCCCAATTAACAATAATAAAGTTAACCAATTCTATTAAGTTTAAGCTAATAATGTGAACAGTTTCCAGCGCATGCTGGTGGGATACTACAATGAGAAGGGTATCCTGGTGTACCACCCTGCCAGCACCGCCATGCACTACTTCAAGGGCGCCTTCACTGCCGATCTGTTCGCCTCCTTACCGTTAGAAATCCTCGCATTGTCTGCTGCAAGAATGCACCGTAAGTAATATGTATAATTTTCGGTCTGTGACCTCTTTATGCATCCTAACCATATCCTACTGTAAATCACTCACGGGACCGCGCTGCATTTTCCAACAAATTCCTTTATTAGCGCAGCTGGCACCATACAATGAAAACATACATAAAAAACCATACATTTTTACATTAGTCACAGTCGTTTATTGATAACAAATTAAAATCTTAATAATAAAAAGTTACACAAAAGCAATCTTAATAAAAATAAAAATATTATTAATTAAATTGCAATTGTAATGTAATTACATCAAATTAATAACAATAAATTAATCAAAAATTGAAGTTATATCGTGCGAAATAGCTGCGCTTGTGTTGAATATTTTTTTCATGCAGTAACTAAAATAAATAACAAAAGCGCAACTACAGTCACCAACCATCACCAAAATATACCCGACACGTGTTTCGCCTCTCCACGAGGCATCCTCAAGTGTCGTCGATTGTTCGACCCTCGGCCGAAGTAGAGGTGGGTGATAAATAACGTCACGATGAAAAAATCACGATGATCCGCCGTCAAACAGTATTACCGTGACTCGTTCCGAAGGAACGACGTTCCAAAGTCACATAGGTGTTCCTCCGTTCCAATAGCTATCCCCGTCACTCACATCACGACATACGTATTTGATACAATGCGCGATCTCCGTTCCGTGCTGACTGAGCGCGCCACTCGTTGTAGTTCTCTTCAAATCGGGCCATTTCGGCGATGGGAGTGAGTGAGATAGGACGACTTTGTTTGCTCACTCACAAGATCATCGAGTATTATGTTATTACTACTACATAGGGCGAATTGAAAAAAATCTGTAGCAGTTACTATAAGCCTATTTATTAACAAAGTAAAATATTTTTGTATATTTGTTTTATTATAGGAATAGTTGGTATTTTATATTTATGTATAATCTACTTTGTGTATTCTACTAGAAATATAATTACATTACACTTTATTGCTATTGTTAACAATCCAAAGATTCGCATTAAATAAGTAACAAACAAAATTACATTAAATCCAAAATCAACTATTTGAATGGATTTGAAACTTACTACAAAGGGAGTAACTTAAATCATTCTATAAAAAACGGCTATAAGTATTAGAAAGAAGCCGCTGGCTAAAACCGTATATCGTGATGTAAGTCATAGGCGCGACAACGTCACGGAAATAACAGTCGTGACAAAAAAAATCACATCATCAATCAATCACACGGTGATGGAACCGGAATGACAGTCACGGCGACAGAAATGTAACGATATACCCCATGTCTAGGCCGAAGAATGAGCTCGTTCAGAACGGTTGGTTTATTTATACCCCACTACCCTCAATGTTACCATTGTTGAAACTCGAAAATACCCGTAATAAAGGTGATGATGCAAAATTCAATTGTTCATTTATAAACCCCTGTTGTGTACCTAATTATTTCCAGACGTAGATGCTTTTTCGCAGAAATGTAAGATTTCATAAGAATGGGAACCTGGTAAAATATGATTTGTTTCCATTGACTTACAAATAAATGGACGACGGGTCTAATACAAAAACCACGAAAAAAATGTCCCAAGTCAACCTATTTGAAATTTAAATTGTAATGTCATCGCAGTATCGCGCTGTCAGTCGAACAAATGAAGACTAAAGCGGAGTTTGGCGCTCTGTATACGATTTTAGCGCCTTACAAGTGCGGACACTTTTTAACGCGGACCCGACGTCCATATAATTGTAAGTCAATGTTTGTTTCTAATAAATGTTTAGCGAAATTTAGAATTCTTTATGGTGCACTTCGCACGCTATCTGGCAGCCGGTTGTAGTCCACCGGCCGCCGCGGTCTAGCCCGCTAATTTATGTTTTATTATTATTTATATTTCTCCTTACAATTTCTCTTCATTTTTATTCATATTGTCATTTTCATCTTTGGTCTTACTTTTTTCGTTTATGGCATCATTCGTAGTAATGGGCAACAATTAAATGTTCTTTCTTTTTGTTTTCAGAATCCATTACCAGACCTAAATTCTACTTAGTACCTCCACTGGCGCAGTACTTAATGTTCAATCGACTATTGCAGCTGTATCGGCTGCCTAACATGCTCAAAACTCTCTCGGTATACATAGAGAGAGAGGATATCCTCCTCATGTAAGATGATCACCAAATCCATGTATCCGAAACCTGTTTAAGTTTGTAAATTATTTTTACTTATATTCCCCTTACCTCTAACCTCTTCGCTTTTATCATATCCAATTTTTCAATTCCCATTAATCTAATATCATTTTTCAGCATCAAGGGAATGCCTCTACTCCTGGGGCTGCTCAATGTGATGACGTCATTTCTGTTCTTGGAATCAATTGATATGTATGCACCTTACGGTGGAAATGAATGGTACTTTGAGGAGAAACCAATGAACGAAACGTGGATTACGACCGCTAAATCCATATGTAGCTATTCGTTTGTCTTATTTGTTTAAGTGTTTTCTTCAGCGACCTAGGTTTGAACATAGTATAAATAAGAAGTAGTTTAACTTCGATATGTTCGACGCGTCAAAGCCTACCACGTGACGACGCGTGAAAATTGTCGTTAGTAAAGCCGGGGCAAAATAAAAAACACGACTTCAACAAAAACCATTTATCCCGTTAAAAAGGCGAAAGTCCGACCTTAAATGTCCCCCATTGAAGGTCGGATTGACTCGCGCTGTGGTTTACTGGGATGCATCGGGAAGCTGCGGTAGTCCGTATTATCAAGGACACACGTTTATCATTGAATGAAAGTTTTTTAAGATTAATTCCTAGATTGTAATACCTCAATATCGCCCCTATAAGGATGGTATATGTATAAAGAGAAACCCCTCTTAAAAAAAGGAAAAAAAAACAGATCGAACACTTAAAAAGTTGTAGCCGATAGGACTTGAATCATCGAACCGTCACTTGATGTTATAAAAAAAAACTACATAGTGGTATTTACACAATCTCGCTTATCTACACATTATTTTAAACGGATATATTTCTCTTTAAGTATTGCAGACATTGAGTATATAACCAGAAATATAGACGAAATGTCATTTAA